AAAATACGTGAGACGTAGAGTAGGTGAAGCACTTCATCCTGATTGCATTGAAGCAACTACAAAAAACCCAACAAATGTTATGATTTGGGCATGTATGTCTGCAGATGGTGTGGGCCGAATTCCAGTAATTCTTGGCATCCTGAATGCCAAAAAAAAAATCGAAACTGTCCTGAAACCAAAATTGATACCTTCCAGTAGGGATCTCTTCCCCAACAACGCACCATTTATTTTTCAGCAGGATTCAGGTCCAAGAAACAGTCCTGATCTCAATCCAATTGAAAATTTGTGGCGACGTTTGAAAATTCTTGCACGAGAAAAACGTCCATCCAATAAAAGACAACTTATTAAACCTATAATCGATTCTTGGTACCAAGTGATTACGAAAGATGAACTTCAAACAGTCGCTCACTCAATGAAAAGAAGCTGGGAAGCTGTCTTAAAAAATAAGGGTTATCCTACTAAGTATTGATTGTGTAAGTATCCTTTAAAAAAAATGCAAATCTAAGATAGATCTTACTATTAGTTGCACAACTTTTTTGTAATACAGATATTGTAATATTGTATTCATTATTAAATTCTACATTAAATTACCTTCAATTTGATATATAAACTTTCGTATTTAAGTGAAAATTAATATATTCTACAAGCACACAAAGTTGAAAAACATGAAACTTACAAAAAGTATCCACACTTTTGGCCACCACTGTATGATTAAACTAACAATAATTAAAGTAAAAGCAAGGTAAGTCTGTCAAATTAGAAACGACTACATTTAAGTTACCGTTTTTTATTTAATTACGTCTTGATCCTGATTTTGTACGAGTGCTTTTCTGAATCACCCGTCCCCAAGGTGTTAATGTAGGTATTTTTTTTAAAGTCAATTAGTTTTATATTTCCATACCTACCAACTTGTGCGGTCACCGAAAAAGATTTTACCAAGTGGTAAGACAACAATGAAAATTGGAAACATTTTCAAATATTTTAACTATCTAAGCATTTAAGAGATAAAAAGTTAATTAATCGATGATATCTAAATAATTTTTGATTATTAATTTGTCGCTGCAGGTTGAAAAAATTTTTTTGGAAACTTTAAATGCGTCAAAAAGCTACAATGTCGCTTCCACTAAGAAAATGCTTTCTCAACGGCCGTACAGGTTGGCAGACATTTCTAGCTATTCGTAATATTTGTTGAATTAGTGCTTCCAGATTGGCAACACGCAATCCAAACAGATGCTAAGTATATATCAAGTCGGAAAAGAGCAAAAACTGGTATAAAAGACAATTCATTTGGATATTATTATTTCGAGAAAAGTAAAATTTCTATAACTACAAGATTTTCTTTTTACAATTATAGTACATATAAAACACTGCTTTACTTCCGACAAAAGGCGATAATGCTAAACAGTTAAGAGAAAAGAATAAATTTACACAAAACAAACTATAGCTGAAATGGTTTTCTTATGAACTCTTTCGTCAATATCTCCCCCCTGATCCAAGCACGTTATAAAGTACTAAAAACGCAAAACTATTTGCTTTTAAGTGTTCGCAAATTTTATCTGCAATTCTATTTAAGCAACAGAGAGATAAAATAATGTTTCCTCAATAAAATGCACTGCCAAATATCGCAGTTTCTAATGTATTGTCTGATAAAAATTAGCAACCAAAAGTTCCGCAAAAGGTAAAAGAAAGGGGGTTTTTTCAACAACAAAAATAGAGTAAATTTTGTAGCAGAAATGTTTCATTATTAATTTTAATGTTGTAAAAAAAAACATTTTCGTCCCTTGAATAAACCACTTAAAAATTTAAATATATTAATTTTTCGATTGAACAGCGGCACTACGGAGTTTCAGTTTTCAAAAAATGTTTTTCCTAACAATAGCAATGGGAATCTGTTAATAAATTACAGTTAAATATTTTTGTTTACAACTCTATATGGAAAATTGCAAGAAATATATTATAGGTCAAATTTTTTTAGACAATTTACGAGAGTTATTAAAAATTCTACAAATCTCTGTTAGTGTCGAAAATTGAACTCTACCAGTAGAAATAACACATAAAAAATCCTAAATTTGAGCGGTATGATCAAGAGTCAAAGATATAGCTGCTAATTTTTCCGGAAGATTTCATTTAAAAATTTCTACTAAAATTTTTATATATATCCTCCTCAATAAAAGTGAGGGAGGGAAAGTCTTGCTAAATAAACACGTAAAATTTTTCGTATTAGGCAATAAGGGAAATTTCAGAAATGCCAACTGCTCCGGACGAGCCATAATCATTTGAAAACGGTAAACAACTACTAACTAAAATTTGCATATATTTGATTAATTTTGCTTTATTTTTTAATGGTAAGGCACAAAAGCTATCAAGTGGCGAATTATATAAGCTTTCGAATTGTTTAGTAGTAGTGGTGGATAAAAACCTAACAAATAAAATTTTTTAAACCAAGACTCACACATTCAGAGATGCCAACTGCTCCGGACACGCCAAAATAATTAACCCTTTCGCGCCGACCGTCACAAATACGTGACAGCAAAAAACCGTATCAATCAGGGTAAGAAGATAAAACTGGTAATCAAAGTATTTCTTTAGCAGTTTATTTGTGGGCGGAGTTATAATTTTTTGATTTATTTAATTCACCATTACTTTGTTCAAAATAAAACTATTTAGTTATACTTTGAATTAACATTGATTATATATATGATTAAACTAACAATAATTAAAATAAAAGCAAAGTAAGTCTGTCAAATTAGTAACGACTACATTTAAGTTACCGTTTTTTATTTAATTGCAACTTGATTCTGATTTTGTACGAATGCTTTTCTGAATCACCCGTCCCCAAGGGGTTAAAAAAGCGAAGACTTCTGGTTAGTAACGCGCAAAACAGCCAATAAAAATTGAAAACGCATGTGTGTCAAAAGGTAATAATTTTTAATAATGCTGCCAGCAGAAATGTTACAACTAAACTTACCAGCTAAAGCTTGTTGCAATTTTTATTTGTATCGAATGTGTGAAATATATTGATCAGAATTTACTTTAAAATACTCATATCTTTGTTACATAAAATGGATCACCATGAATATCTTAGACGTGAATATCTTTTACTTACTTTTAATTGTTTTTTACTTACTTTCAAAAAATTGTTCAGCAGGAAATATTAATTAACAGTTCATATTTGTTTGAGATAGTTCTTAAATAATGAATAAAAGTGCAAATCATTTGTACACAAAAAGATGCAAAAAGAAAAATCAATGAAAAATGTTTTGGTAGGTTTTGGGAATATTCAGAGATCTATTGTAAATAGTTTTTAATTTTAATGTTTTCACCTTATTTTTTATAACAATTCCGACAAAAATGTTTATTGATCATTGATAACATGGGTAAACTATATTTGAGGGTGCCCCACACCTGCCAACTCTTCCGGATTTTCCGGAAGATTTTATTTTCATATTTAAAGTGGTAGTAAATATATACTGTTTTTTCTTTTTCAAATTTAACTTTTAAATGATTTTGACCACCACTATTCTTACAAAAATTAAGCACATATATAAATATGCGTTACTATCATGGTTGTCAACGTAAGTTTTCTCAAATACAACGTATTTCTTTGCTTAAAATTGAAGTTTTAATTCCATTTTAATACCACTGAGAAAAATTATAATGAAAATGATTAAAAGTTGGCAGGTATGGGGTGCCCCTTGATTCTCGCCAAGTTGTGATCGCGGTTGATCGCCAAGCTGGGCGATGTTAAAACCGAATCGTGATTCTGATAGGTTTAGATTTCAGCTTTATTTTTAAATGTTCAACTCTATGTGTAATTTCAGAGGTCCGCTAGTTCTACGGTGGATACCGGCTGGTAAGGTTACTTTTGCTTCTGGTCAATAAGATCGAAGGTATGTAAGCGGTCATAAAAAGGGACTTTAAAAAAATGTCACCGCCAGTTTGGTACCACGGACGCCATTTTTGATTCGTATTTCGCCGAATTTATGTGGCGATGGAGGTACACAAATTCTATTCATGATAAATTTCGACAGTATCTAACTGCTATTATAGAATTCTGTGCACCTAAACCTAAGAATATTCAAGCTTAATGAAAAAGTGTTTTTTTTTTTCTTTGCTTACTCCATTAATTTTTGTTTCAATTCAAAATGCATTTTATTGGGTGCATTAATTTTGCTCATATCGGGTTCATTGCAATTTTATAAAGTTTTGGCTGATGTTTTGTTGAAATTTTCAAATGTTTTATTGAAATTTCATTAGATTTTGGCAGCCATTCTTTTTACCACGGTGTTCCCCGTAAACAAGAATGGCGCCAAACATAAGTCGCAAATTTCGCCAAGGGGCACCCTCAAGTTTATTTTTACAGATAACATAATTATTTCACTTTATATTTGTGTTTGTATTCAGTATGACAAAAAAAATTGGTTTAAATATACTTGAGGTGTCCCTTGGCGAAATTGGTGACTTATGTTTGGCGCCATTCCTGTTTGCGTGGAACACCGTGGTAACAGGAATGTCTGCCAAAACATAATGTAATTTCAATAAAACATTGGAAAATTCGTCCACCAAAACTTTATAAAACTACAATGAACCCAATATAAGCAAAATTAATAAATCCAATAAAATGCATTTTGGAATCGAAACAGAAATTAATGGAGTAAGCACAGAAAGAAAAGGAAAAAAGCAACTCACTTCTTCATTTAGCTTGAATATCCTCAGATTTAGGTGCACAGAATTCTCTAATGGCAGTTAGATACTGTTTAAATTTATCATGAGTAGAATATCATAAACAAAATAGGCATTATGTACCTCTCCATCGCCACGTAAATTCGGCGAAATTTAAAAATTTCGATAAAGATAAATAGAAAAGAAAATTACTACTTGAATCTTACCAATGTTAAAAAACACTATGACGGAGCCATTTTTGTCTCTCTATGGATATGCACCACCAGCATTGGTTTGTTCCAGTGTGGTTTTTATGATCTCTATGTCCAGCTCTGGCGGATAAACTTCAGGATATTTTTGTTTAACAACGAAAAGATGGTGTAAAAGTTCCCAAGCTCTCTTTACATCGAATTTTTTTGCTCTTAGGAATTGCAGTAGGCAAGCATCATCAGTCCAGATCTTCAGTTCCTTAAGTTCTGAAAATAAAGTTTAATATCTTCAGGGCGTTCATTAAGGACCACCATTTATAAAAGGAGTCTGAAATCTAATTAAACGCCAAATGTCTTGAGCTATATTTTGAAAAAAATTATTCAATAATCGAACTTCCAACCTCACTCCTGGAGATGGAAGTGACTTTAATCTGGTTAATCAATTTGGAAAAGTTCATCATAATAGCTAAGTCAGGAGAGCGATTGAAAAATTTTAAATTCCCTTATCATTAAATTCTCACTCTGCATATTTCGCAGATGTCTCTGAAATTTTTGTCAATAAATCAAAAGGTCTGGCACATAACTATAATCCCCGTTCTTTCAAAACATAATTAAATCATTCAAAAATTCAATTTTAATAGCTAAGCATTATTTTTTTATTTTTTAACTCTGCAATGATCGAAACAAAATAGAACTTAGATACACAATTTTTTACAAAATTTTACCAAAATAAATGAAATCAATCAAATCGAACTATAATTTTTTTTCAACATAGTGTATTTGTAATTTTTTTAGAAATATTCAAACAAAAAAATACATTTTTAAATAAGAAAAATTTAAATTAATTAGAAATCAGCCAAATAGTGCTGCTTTACAAATTTTAAAAATTTATTTTTAAATTTTTAACTGTCCTATAACTATTTTACAGATTTTATTTGAATTTTCTTAATTTTTTACTTCAAGTTGCATATTTTTGAAAAGATTTTAAATTTTTTTATATCCTAAAAATATTTTCAAGCATTCAATTAGGGAATGAAAGGAAACAAATAATTATTATTAACTTTTTTTTCAAGGAATTACATTTGAATAAGCAAGTACAATGGAGAAATATTTTTTTCACCTCAATAGTATCAGAGATTGAGGAAATATACAAAAAAATGATATTGGGGATATTATTATTAAGGGCCCAATTTATAAAGGGTTTTTTTAATAAAGGGAGGGGGCTCTTAACCTTGTATGAGACTCTTGAGTTCTGATATAGCCTGATTACGAGTTTCTTCAGTTTCATTCAATTCATCTTCGGCTAATTTTACCATCCAGTCTGTTAGATATCCCATTTTGCATGGTAGAAATCCCATACTTGCCATCTGGAAATCATAATTGCTTGCCATTTGCGACAGTTATGGTTCTAAATCATCTGGAACGAAAATAAATATAAATCAAGATTTAGTTGCAAAGATATCTGGGGAAAAAATAATTTGTTCTAAAAATCAGCTAGTTTTTTTTTATTATTTTGCTATAAGCAATTACGTTGAAAGTAAAAATAAAACACTCCCACAATGGCTCGTTTTTGGGCCATGAAATGTCATGAAGTTTAAGGTTTTTGTGACTGGCAACGGATTCAGCATAACGACGGATGATCAACTGCGTTTCCCAAACATAGTAGTTACCAAAGTTAGTTATTAACAATTAAATCATTATTAAGTTAACCATTATTAAATTTATATTAAGAATAAAGTTACATAAATTAAACATTGAAAATCGAGTACAATAGAAACATTTATTTAATAGAAACATTAAATATCTATTAAATAAAAATGGTAATACTTATCTGATGAAGAATCATTGTAGTAGTCATCACTCGCTATGGCATATTACTTATTAATATGGGATTAGAATAAAAAACAACTAAAACTTAATAAAAGTATCCAAAATATTTAATAAAAGCTAAATTTTCATGTCGTTTAATAAACTTTTTGTTTTGTTTTATAAAAACAGTATCGAAGAATTTATGTCATGATCTTTTGCAGTTTCCTTTTTTATGACTATTTTCTTGGAGAACTAGGATGTTATTAAGTAAAGCATGCAATACTTATCCAATTTAGAACAATTCTGGCACATTCCGTTCATATCTCGCTATGGCCCATTGCTTATTCATATAGGATTAGAATAAAAAATAACTTAATAAAAGTATAAAAATTATTTTAACATAGCTAAACTTTTATGTCCCTTAATAACTTTTTTTTGTTTTATAAAAACAGTATCGATGAATTTATGCTATAATTTTTAACAGATTCCTTTCTTATGACTATTTTCTGGTGACCCAGGCTTAGAAATTTCATTCTAAACAATGTCCGTTTTTTGACAAAATGTTTAATGAAAGGGATGAAGGCTCGGTCGGTAAAAATCTGATAAAACCTTGCTCACATGGGTTGTAATACCTTTGATCTTATTTAATCCTTTGTGTTGAATTTAGTTGAACATCAACAACTTCCAACAACATTTCAGCATCAACAACATTTCCTACAACTTCCATCCGCTACCTAGTGTGAAGCTGTAATCCCTTTTTGCTCACGGAGGAAATCCAATCAGGAAGTATAACGCCGTTTTTCGAAGCTCTGTCGCCAAGGAAATTAAAAAAAAGTTATAATTAAAGTGCCTTACACTTGAAGCAATGTGATGATTATAAACTATAAACATAATCTTGCCGTGAAGATTTGTCTGGGCTTTAGAACTGACAAATAACTTAAATATTTTAAAAGTTATTAAACATTTTTAAAAATCGCCAATTGTGACATCCCCCCCTTAGATGAAAATTATCAAAACCACTGCCTTATTCTCAGTTTTTGCAATTTTTTATGATCCTAGGTAGGGTAGCATTGAGGTAAATTTTTAAATATTAAAATATTAGATCACAAACACTTTTCGTTTTTACAAAACTGTGGCTTTTCTCCAAATTGATGTTCTGCGTCAATTCCAGAATGAGCATAGACAGCGCTGGCTTTAGATAGACTAAAATTCACCAAGTCATGAGTAACTGTTGCAAACTCACAACAGTTACAAAAATAGTATATTTTTAGCAAAAAAGCATCATTTTTATATTACAAAGGTGTTTTCAAAAAACATCATTTTAATGTAAAACACAACTTTTATTTTTAATTCTGGGCATGTAGATTTAAATTTAAAAACAAGTATAATCAGTTATGTATTCTAGTGGCTGATGTGAGCATTGTTTTGTTATGACACATTATTTGTTTTGAGTAAATCGTTGAGTTCATTTATTTCTTTGTCAATGTTCAAACTTCTTGGAACAAATCGTCGCTTTGTAACTGTTGTTGTTGTTGTTGCTAATTCCCATCTGGTCTGACGGGGTCAGACCAGATCAATGAATCCGTTGATATTGAGAAAATCCGAAACCAGAATGGGAGAGGAATGAATATCTGCTTTGTAACTAAACCGTAGTAACTCAAAAAAATCGAAAAATTAGATATTTGGGTCATTTTGTGTAAAAAAATCACCCTTTCAGAGAAACAACGTGTTATCTTCATAGTTCCATAAAATTAATTTAGACAGCAGGTAAATCGTTATCGCATTGGCGTAGTGTAGCAGTGTGCCAGTTGCAACAAAACCTTAGAGGAGATAACGTCGCTTTGAAACTAAACCGTGATAACTCAAAAAAGCAAGTTTTTCAGGAGAGCGATTTTTTTCCTACACTGTTGTATGTCAAAATTTGAAATGAAATATGTAATATTCGGGAGGATATTTTGAAGAACATCGTTGTATTTTGATATAACTCTCCACTTTTAATAAAAGTTTTAGAGAAAAGTGTTGCAACTCAAAGTACCTTAACTTGTTTCAAAATTACCACAGAATTAAAAATGCTACAAGAATCAGGCCTGGTTCATTGAAAAATGTAAAGAAACCTGGGTTTTTTTAATGTAAACTATTTTGCAATAGTCACCATAGCTTCGAGTCAAGCTGCGTTGGAAGTTCCTGAAAAGTTAGAAATCGCTCTCCTGAGAAACTTGCTTTTTTGAGTTACCACGGTTTAGTTTCAAAGCGACGAAATGCTGATGTAGAAGAGATCATTAGAGAGGACATATAGTTATTGACGCCTGAGTTAGGCTCTACATTTTTACTATTACAAGTTTGGTTAAGCTCTTTTCCCAACATGAGCAATTTAATGCTATTTACTACTTAGTACGGTGTTAGATGACCTAATGATAGAAGCTGAGGGGAAAAATTCGAACAATTCTTGATTAAATTTATGAGTTAAACGATACTTAACATTACAGTTCTTGTTTAACATTGTCAAATTCATTGATATTAAAAAACGTTGTTGAAACGGCAATAATTGTTTTTTGTGTTTTACACACATATAACATATATAATGTTTTCATGAGTGCCAAATACCGATCTATTAAGTTTATCATTGAATAATTCTCGCGAATTTGTGACATCAAAAAGAGGAGTAACAAAGTTAATTGAATTCCGATTCCCTGGAGCAAGATGGGAAAAGACCTTGCAGAGCATTGTAGACATTGTTCTTTCTGAATCAGCAGGATTGATAAAAAAAACCTGATGCTCAGAGCAAATATTTAAGTTCTTCGAAAACCACCAGTTTTAGCCTCTTAAATATAAAACTAATATCATTTTCATTATAGATAAACATACAATGGAATACATAGTATTATATATAAATATCCTAATGCCAATACTGGATAACCAATGCTTTCAACAGTTTCGATAATTTTCTTAATCCAATTAACAAAAATTTATTTTGAATATCAAACTTAAATTAAACTGATTGCTTAAGAGAATTTAAAATACCTCTAGCCATACAAACGAATGTGTAGTCATATGGTCCAAAAATTTGGTCAAGTTTGATGACATAAGACAATTTTTTTGATACTTTCATTTTTATCAATTGATACAATGATCAATTTCGATCCATCGGTTTATTGCCTTGGTTTGCGCTTCATCAAATTTAAAAAATCTTTTTGGATAACCGGAGAAGCATCAATTTTGCAGGCCCATATTCTAATTGTTGATAAAGCTGGAAGGGCATTTTTATACTTAAGATATTGCACGTAAGGCAATGGCTGAACCCATGTCTACATATCCCATGTGACGCGTTTAGAACCTTTTAGTGCTTTTATTTGACCAGGTCTGTGGTATTCCAGGTCTTTTATTCGACCAGGTGACCAGGTAACTTAAGTTCTGATGTTTGACCAGAATCAGACGGCTCTTACCAGGCTTACCAGCGGCCACCTTAAGTCTCTTTCTTTCGAGGGTAGTGTTAAAATCTTCCCAAACTGCCCCAGGTGCCACAACATGCAGGCTTCCTCCCAACATGCCCTGGACTACCTTGGACTGGGCAAGAGGGACATTCTGGAAAACCCACTTTTGGTGACCGACTTCCTCCGGGTCATGAATTTCATTGGCATTGCTCAGCCCTGCTAATTTTGGGGATTGGGAAGAAGAAGAAGAGAAGAATTTGACCAGGAGTAACTACTTTAGAAAGTAAATTTTCGACACACTCTTGACCAATTATCTATTGTATTATCTCTCGACTAGTTCTCTTTGGTTAATTTATGTTTGGTCTACTTTTTTTTCTATTTCTTCTGAATTTCAGTTTCTTTTTACTGCCCTGAGAATTATAAAAGGAGCCCAACCTCACTGGCAATATTTTGGGTCGAGTTGTGTAACAGTGTATATCTAATTTTTACTTTGAAAATATGTAAATACAGTCGCTTGCCAAATAATTAGAATTACAAGAGTCTTTCTCTGAGAAATTAAAATAAAAATTTTAAAAACAAAATAGTTAGAGATATCTTAAAAATAAATCAACTATCTGAGAATTAATTTCAATTATATAAAATTAGATTTATTTTCTATAAACTAATGTTCAAATAATATTTCTAACAAAAAAGTTGTCTATTGACCTGATTGACAGCTTAAAATGAATTTCTTCAAAAGTTTAGAAAATTAATATTTAATAAATTCAAATATTCGATCTAAGAAAATAAATAATAATACATATTTTATTCTCAAAAAAATTTATTAACAAATATTTATTTTAAGAAATAATTAATATTTTGAAGAAGAAAATAAGAAATGAATCAGTAAATTTAAAATGATTTATAAGTTAGGAGAGGTAATTAAAAAGGGACCTTTTAATTAAAAAAGACCTGTGAAAGTTTACGAATAAAGTTTTGAAAAATTATAATCTGTCTTAAATATATCTTAAGAAGCAAAACTTTCTTAAAAATAATAATTGCTAAATGAAATTTTAATTCCTTTTCAAAATAATAATCATTAGAAAGCGAAGAATTAAATATATTTTCAAAAGATATCGATAAAAACAAGAATCAAAGTTCTGTACTGTCCTAAATGACTGATTTTTTCGAATTTCTC